GGTTGCTAGATTTTGAATAACTCGCTTTTTTGGCAGTCTTGATTTGGCCTCTTTCCATTTGTTTATTACTGTTTGTTCGTGTTGCAAGCTGTGCGCCATCTTACGTTAGTGTTAACACTTTTAGTATTGTAAACACAAGTATTGTTAGTATTGTAAACATAAGTAATAAGTAATCAAATACATTGTTTGCAAGAATCTCAAAACACAATGATGCCAAATGGCTTTAAAATGCAACTGAAACAGTAGCTTGGAAATTTAGGCAGTACCGAGCTTGCAGCGTTCCCTAGTGTAGAAAACACCATCCATTGTTCATTGATTCGGCCAATGGTGCGGAAACGTACCATTTTATTTCTTAAATAAAATGTCCCGCAGTGGACTGATCGTTAAGACACGGTTCCCAGCAGATCACCGAAGTCAAGCATCACTGACTGCGGTCAGTGTACGGGTGGGTGACCACTTGGATCAGTCTGCGTAGGGACCGAGGGTGTGCGGTATTGGTCCTCGTTAAACTGTTCTACCGTAAAGTGCTCAACTTCGCGTGCAGCTCGTCGGGCTACCGAAGCGGGGGTGCCATCCCCTCTGCAGAGGATCAAAATTGTGATGGCATGTCTTCGGATCATCCTCAGGGATGTTTCCCAGACCGTCGCCAATAGTCCATTGTGCAGCTCTAGTGCGACGTAAATGAACAAATCAAACAAATCAAACTTAAATAAAGTATTATTTTTCTTGCACGAAACTTATTTTTTGTCTCAATGAATGTAATTTAAACATATTTCAATGAAAATAACTTTGCATTTTACAAAATTTCTATCCTTGGCCTAAAATGGGTTAAATCAATGTAAGCGCAAAGCAATGGGTGTTTTCACTGAAATGAGAGTGATTGTACTGCAAACGTTTCTACGCGTTGTAGTTCGTAAAACGTGAAAAAGTGTTTAAGGTTAGAAGGTATTCGAAGCAACTTAAAAGTTGAAAACGCTTAAAGTGTAACATCGTATAGCAAATTCGAAAATACTCAATATTTGTTTTGATTGTTGAACACATAAGTTTTCTTCAAGTACTATCGTTGCTTTTATATAATATGATAGAAATATTCATGTACTAATTCTTTTAAATTTAATTCATGGCTTTTACTTCTGAAGATCTTGAAAGTAACTCTTTTTATATGGAATTAGAGGTTTGTTGCAGCAAAAATGTTGACTCACTGTGTTGTTTAAGAAATGAGTTAAAAGTATTTTTTCTTACTTCAAATGATATGATTTCTGATATTTATAGAACAAAACTGACACGGTTTTCTTTTTTAATTCCTATTATGTATAACTATCCAAAGTATGCCATTTCCACCCTTGAGGCAACAGCACAGTCTGTATCTTTTGATTATTTGCCTTTTAGCAAACTTATACACTGCTCAAAACAACTAAAGGATATTGAATTTGTGAGTTGATCTTGCACCTGGAGAATTGTTAAAATGATTTATGCATTATCAAGAGGTAGTAAGCTATATGAGATAAGCAAGACATTTGTTTGGCAAAAAAAAAAGCGTACTTTATTGAGCATTTGGGTACAAAAGGAGAAATAACACAATTTGTGCATATGAGAAAAATAAATAAAAAAGGAATTTCCTTAAAAGAAAATCATTTTTAGTAGGGGTTATGGTTTTCCTGTACGGCCAGCAACGTTGAACACCTTTGAGTCAATGAGGAGCTGGGGTATTCTGTCTCACTCCTCCAGAAGTGCTCTTTCTAGTTCTTGGAGAGTTTGTAAGGATGGTTAACATCCAGCAATATGTCTGCTTAGAATGTCCCAAACATGTACGATTTTGTTTATGGCTGGAGAACATGCTGGCCAATCCATAAGCATGATTCCTTTCTCCAAAAAGAAAACATTCATGAAGTTAGGGTGATATGGCCTGCATTTGTCTTCCATTAACATGAAGTCATCTCCAATTGCATCAGCGTTAGGGACCACAATAGGTCTCAGGAACTTATCCCTATATTGGCAACCTGTCAGAGCCCCATTTTGAATTATATGAAGATCGGTTATTTTTTGTGTTAGCTGGGACAAAATATTATTTTTAAATTATTTTTTCTTATTGTTATATGATATATTTTTGTTGTTTTTACTACCATTTTTTCGCTGCATTGTGGAGTTATATTTTTTAATAGAAACAAAATATACAATATAATGTATAAATTATTAATATTAATTTTTTGTGGTTCACTGTATATTTTGACAACAGCATTGTCCATACATACTGCGATATTAGACTGGAATTTTTTAAAAAATATGTCAAAATCAATGAATTTTATTCAACTATTTGAATAGCACCTCTGCGATGTTAAAGAATATTGATTACGTGGTAAAATAGTGAAATTTTGACTGTTGTTTGTTTGTAATGATTGACACTAAAAGGTTTTCTGCAAACAGTGTTTGCATATTCCAATGCAATATACGTATCTCATAAGAGACATCCTATATGTGTAGTAGCTCCCTAATTTATTTTGAAATATAGTTTGCCCCCTTTGTTTTGAGGATCAGGAAAAATTATATATAATGTAAAAAAATAATTATTTAAAGAAAGAATTTTTTGTGTCTGATTTTGTGACTTAATTAATAGTTAACACTTATTAATTAGAATCTAATATACAGTAGGGAACCGATTATCGGGACCATCGCTATTCCGGATTACTGATTTTTCAGGTTTTCTGAATCACTACAAAAAGCCGTTTTTTTTTATTGTTAAACCCAACTAAAAAAAAAAAATTTCTGGAAATAATCTTAAAGAGAAGAAAAAGCGATGAAGTTATACACTAATGATTATTTCCAAAATGATGGTAAGGTAAACATCTTTCTAAAAAGAAAAAAAAATCGTTAAATCTTATGGGAAAAATGTTTTTTTTTTTTTTTAAATGGCGGGGAAATGTATGAATTTCGTTCCGGTTTCTTGGTTTTCCGGATAACGGGTTCTGTACTATACTAATTTATAGTTTGCACTAATTAATTAGCATATTTGAGGTCACACCTGAAGCCATTAATAAAAGTGCATGAAAATCTGATTATTTGAACAAAAGTTATTCAGGAAGATATCTTTTTTAATTTAATACCTCTGAATATCACTTTAATTGGTAGAAAATCCCTTGTTTAGACATCTGACTGAATCATATAAAAGCCCTGTAGCAGAATTTTTTCGGGCTTTCTGCAACAAAACTCTTTAGCACTAATATCTTTCTGTGAGATACTATTAATAATAACAAAAATGTATGCTTCTAATTTAAGGTAACAAAAGCACTGTGTTTACAAAAAAAAAAAAATTTTAAATTTAATATGTAATTTTTTTTAAATCTTATATTATGACCGATATTCTCGCATTTTGTGAGGGGGAGGGAAAGACACTAATTATTTTCTTTATCGCATTTTGCAAATCATCATCGGAGTAAAAAAATAATTAAATATCATGAAATCAGTAATTAGCAAAACACAGATAGACGAAGAGATTGCGTGAATCAGACTCCTAATAAAAAAGTTTACTCAAATGTATGTTTCGTTTTAAGATTTGATTGTTGTAATAAAATATATATAAAAAATATTGTGTTTTAATAACTATGTGGAAATCAAAAGCAATAACTGCCAAGAAATAGATAAAATCATTGACTTAAAAAGTAAATTATCAAACGGGCAATTAAAATTTCGTGTATCCCCTGAAATATATCTGGATGTCTGAAAGCTATGGGAAAATCAATGTCAATAACTGTCAAAAATACAATCAAAATAGATTTACAATATAATAAGCACTAATGATATAATATATAAGCATATATAAGATAACATATAATGAGCATTTCAAAAAGTGATTATTTAAATGTGCGATTCAAAATATCACCTCGATTCTGCCACATTGTATAAAAGAATGGTCTATCATACTGATGATCTGTAATCTATGAATTTTTTCTATATGCTTTTCTATACATATATACTTTTTGAGTATAAGTAAATTGTTAAATAATATGTTTATTCTTTTATTTACAGACTAAATATAGTGAAAAGTATAAAGAGGCTCAAAAGAAGTTGTGGATTATTTGTGTTCCATGCCAAAATAGTTTAAAAGGAAGTGCAATTACTAAGGACTTTGTTGGTAAGAATCCCCTAAGTTTTTATTTTTTAGAAGTTTCTGATTATGCACATTTAATTCATCTGAAAAGTTTTCTATTTTGAAGTCCACATCCTTTAAATAAATTATTTTTATGAGCTCAGTTTTAGTTTTTCTGTAATTGAATTAAATGAGAATTGTTTTTCATTTGATTATAATTATAAAATTATAGTTTGTTTCTGGAACTAAATAATGTTTTAGGTAGGTAAAACATATGGACAATTTAGTAGAAATAATTTTAGTTTAGTTATGATATTACTACACCATCAAATGCAAAATAAAAAAAATATATGTAATAAATTTAGGTTTTTATTAAAAAGTGTTAACAAGCACTATTTTAATTTCCAAATTTAACATAATAAAATTACATTTTTAATAATGTTACTGCAAACATAGTTCAAATACCATGCATGGAAAAATGGTATATAGATTTAAATATTTAAAAATTTATTTGTTTTCTAACAAAAACATTTTTAACAAATTGTATGTATAGAATTCAGAAATGTTTTGCACTTTCCCAAACAAAAGTTATCACACTTGACATGTGTAGGGAATTAAGACAAAATAAAACTTATAATAAAATCAAAGCCGTTACCTATATAAGACCCTTGTGGCAGTTGGTTAGGGAAAGATTAGCATTTTTAAGAGGTCTCAAAAAAAAAAAAAACATTTCAATTACAACTTTGCACATACTTTACAAAATGGCTTGAAATAATATTATTCTATAATGACATAAGTAAATTTAAAATATCTTGTTCTGAATTTTTTATTTTTTTTAAAAATAGACATTTTGTATTTTAAAAATAAACTTAAAATAAAAACTTAACTTTTTTCAATTGAAATAACAAAAGATAACACAATTGCTGTTTACAATCACAACGAAAATTTAGAGATAAAAAACGAGAAGTGTTTTAAAAATCCCCTGAAATCATTCTTCAGTATCAATGTCAAATAAATTCAAATTTTCATAATCTAATCTACAAAATCCATTGAGAATCTGAAATCTTTTCTGCAAAGGAGTTATCACCATCTCTGATGTTGTAGATATCACAACCTCAACCAAATAAATCATTATTCCTGGCATTAAAAAAATGCCAGGCATGTGACTCTTCCTCTAATTCACGGGATTATGTGAATCTCTAAACTGTTGATTCGGGGTTTTTCCGCTAATCAATAATTTATTCTGGTACAAAATTATTTTGGAGTTCCAATCTAAAATTTACATTTTGTTTCTTACAGGGTATCCGCACAAGTCATGAGTTGTCATGTATTGAACTAAATTTGTCGTGAAATATCATGATTTTAACTATTTTTTAAAAAAAGTCATGGATTTAGATCACCGAAAAATCTAATTTTAAAAATGGAATCTGCCCACCCCCCCAATTTCATGGTGTTCCGAATATTTGAATTTCTTACAAAATCCCCACTGACAGCCATATTTTATTAAAATGTAAAATGTTTTTATCATGTTCTTTAAAAATTATGGTGTTCTTTAAAAAGATGAAAGGAAAAAACATAATTTCTAGAGCGGATTATCTTTTAAACTTTATGATTTCAGAATTTTTTTTTTTTTTATCAATTTAAAATTCTAGCTTGGCGAATTTTTTTTATTCTGAAATGAGAACAGAAAAATCAGGAGTATTTCTTTTCTTTCCAATAAGCAAGAAAAGTATCTTATATACTATATAAGATACTTTTCTATATGCAGAATATAGTTCTGCAGAAGAAAAGAAAAAAATTATTTACTTTTGTATTTTTTCAGCTATTTCATTGCTTCAACTCTTTCTTAACTCCGTTTTTTTAATTTGAAATCTATAAAAATGAAGATGCAAAGTATAGCAGTTTCGCGAATACCTATCATTTCGATTAATGTTATTATAATGCTTTTTTAAATTTATTGTTGTGTTTTTGTCGGAGAAAATAGTAACTTTGTTAAGTCATGAAAAATTCTTGGAATTAGTCATGGAAAGCCATGAACTTAAAAATCTAAAATATAGCAGATACCCTGCTCCTACGCAAAATCTCGTTAATGAGACATTTATTCCGTCCTTCTCAGAACCCTCTTTTTATGTGCGATAGCGACTTTTTTAGACAGATTTTGTTGAGAAAAACCCGTACTTGAGATAAACTTCGATAGTATGAGAGTGAAAAAAATATTCCATAGAAACTTCTCTAGAATTAATCAACTACTGAGTGAAACACAAAAGTATAAAATTGATAATCTAAAAAAGTAATTTTGAAATGCCACACATAGTAAATAGGGGTGCACAAACTTTTTGAGTGGTAATTATAAATGCCAAAAAATTATTGAAACGTCACTTAGATTTATGATGAAATCGGCAAAAATTACTCTTATTTGAAATTCGCCTGTTGTAATTTCATATTAAAAATATCGGATCTTTTAAAACCATGTGGAATTTTGTAATAATAACCAATGAAAAAGCTATTGAGTAACAACATAGATTTAAAATAGAATTTGTGCAAATTGAGCGCATTAAAAAGTGAAGTCTCAAAAGTATGATTCAAAATTTTTTTATTTTTTTGAAGAGGAAAAATTTAATTGCGTTCATGAGTTCTGGCGGGCCACTCATCACCAGTTTGCATGCATCCTTAATTTAAAAGTTTGTTTACTATTTAAAAAATGTTTTTTTATGGCTTATATTTTACTGAGTAGCAATTTTGTTGCAAATTCCATTTATAACAGAAGAGATATTTAATAAATGTGATATATATTCCTCCCTTTTTATTTGCTTACAGTTAAATCAAATAAACATTAATATGATGATACAACATGAAAATTTTGAATGAGTACTTACTTTTCAATGCGCTTGATACCATCGTAAATCTTACTTTCGATCTTTTTATCTTTTACAGATTATGTAATTGATTTTCTTGTGGTTCTTAAAATTCTTATCTTTACGAAACAGAAAATTTGAATCTCACATTTAAATTAATAAACACTTTTTCACACTCTCAATTTGCGTGAATACCATCGTAAAACTATGTGGTGTTTCGATCAATTTATCGGCTATAAAGTTTCATAATTTTTTTTAAAAATTTCTATGTTTATACATTATTATTCACAGCTGAAATAGTTATCAGAATGTTAGTGCAACTAAATATTAATTTTCATTGAAAAACGATTTATTTAAGAACATATTAAAATTAACAGTCTCATAGCACTCTGACAAACAGAGTAACAAAGCATCAATGAAAACTAAGAATTTTCCCCTGAAGCTTAAGTACTCTCATACTATAGAAAAAGGACGACATCATGAGCTACGCACGATCAACCAACAGCAAATGAAATAAGACCGGCCTTACACTTGCAATCCTTGATGTCACTGACTTAAGTTGAATGCATGAGAATCATTCAATCAATTTTTGGTTTTCCATATTACTGTATCACAGGGAACTGATGGTAAAGACACTGGCTGCGGTCAGTAAGCGAGTGGATGACCTCTTTAATCAGCCTGCATATGGACCGAGGGTGTGCGGCATCGGTCCTCATTAAATTGTTCTACCATGAAGTGCTCGACTTCTTCCGCTGGTTGTCGGGCTACCAAAGCAAGGCAGCCGTGCCCTCTGCAGAGGTTCAAAATTCCAATGGCATGTATTCAGATAATCTCTATTGTGACATAAATAAAGTACCTACTGCCTCATGTTTTTGTATTTAGTAAATAAAATGCTGGATCATAAAGAAAATATGGAAAAAAACAAAAGTTTATGATAAAAAGAAAACTCAAATTGCAAAGTGATTCTAGAAAATGTAAGAAACAGAAGAAAAAAAAATGAAGGTGTACCAGAACTTTTAAAAAAGCAATAAAAATAAATAAATAAAAGACTAACATCTGTTTCAAAAGGCTGAAGAGAAACAGAAAACCTTTTTTAATTCTTTACTTCAAAGCCGGATATATTTAGTTATTAGTTTGTATTTTTTTTTTTTTAAAGTGACATTAAAAGAAAAGTCATAAATGCTCTTAAAAATGTGCAGCACCACAGTAAAATTATTAAATAATTAAAAACAGAAACTTAATTAAAACAGAACTTAACAGAAAACAGAAGTATAAAAAATCATTTTATCCTTTTTACTCTATTTTTAGGTAACAATTGAGAAAAAAAAGGCATCAAAAGCATTCTTAAAAAATGCTGTATTATATTCATGAATGTCAATTGTTTTGCTTTTTTTCACAAGATTTTATCAAGTGGACAAACTAAAAGTTGGCAGGCTCATTATGAGATGACTGGTATTTTGTATGATTATTTGAATGATTAATATCTAGTTCTGTCCAGGGTTTGAAAAAACCCAACCCGCCTGGGTTTTATTGAAAAAACCCGGGGAAAATTGGGTTTTTTCATTTAGTGCTCATAAATTTTACTGTGAAAATATTTTTATTTATTAAATACTGTTGTATAAGTAAACACGAAAATTTCATCTGACTTTTATCTGTAATAAAATTAAACTGGAATAAATATTTAATGGTTTTCCAGGTTTTTATAATACGATTAATAGAAAGTGAAATTAAAATTACGTTTAATTATAAAGAGTATCAGTTACTTGTCCCTTTTTTCAAATATTTAGATAAATATATGCATTTTAACTTTATAGTTTCAAAAAACAAATTAATCTTAAAATTATAAAAAAGCATATATAAAAAGTTATAGCTTATTTTTTTAAAATCAGATAATAAAACTTTAAATTTGTTTATTGTTGTTTAATGTATCACTTAATAAATTTTTTTTTGTTTGCTTTCAATATTTTTAAACATGATTAAAAGAAACAAAATAAATTGTATTCAAATGAAATCTTAAAAATAATATTTAAAAAATCTTAAAAGTAATATTTTAATTTTTAACTGTTTTTTAATTGTGATAAACTTTCTCCAAATAGTTAAAAATTGTCAGCAGATGTTAAGAGTTGACTTAAAAAAAAGGTATATTTTTTCCTTTATTATTATTATCATACAACAGATTCAAAGTGTCTTAGATGGTGATACTCTCTTAGATGGTGATACACTTTTACGAGTTTTGTAGCTCTATCTATTCCAAATTTATTTCGAAGTTTACTCTGCACCAAACCGAAAGTTGAAAAGTGTCTTTCGATAGAGACAGAGGATGCTGGTGCTGAATGCAAAGGAAAAAGAATTGACAGAAATATTGTGGAAGCTAGGAATTTTATTTACTTTTTTTTCTCGCCATAATTTTCCACTATTTTTTGATGAAAACTGTTGTATAACAGTGTCAAGCATAATTAATTTTGGAAAGTATTCAGGATCGGACATTTTGAATGCCATAACACGTGGCAGAAATTCTGGATGATGCTTAGAAAGCCAGTTTTCTGCTAATTGGTCTTGTTCATCATTTAAAAATTGTCCCCTTATTTCGGGATCCAGGATGCATATGCTAATAAATGATGTGGCTGAACAGCCTGATTGAATCTTTTTACAAAATGTTTATGGGGTTCTAATTCATCACACGATAGTAAGTTAATTCATATTTCAACAGCTTCTGAAATTGAAATGTTTTCTGATTGAAGCTTTTTTAAAGCTTCAGAAACAATTGATATCTGTTTTACCCAATTGATAGTTTATTGGTAAAGCCCAACGTTATTTGATATTTTTGACATATTATTAGATTTATTTTGATGTTCAAGAACAATCTCTTCATATTTATGGTAAATATTGGCAAAAGTTTTTACACGCTCACAATATGAATTCCATCTAGTATCATTGGGTCATCAAGCAGTTTTTTTCATTTGCCCATCCATGTGCTTGATGCACATTTCTAAAATATTTGTTAACTTCAACGATGTGTCCAATGATAGTATTAGGAAATGCTTCTTTTTGAACCAAATTTTAAAAAAACAATTTGTGAAGAAAACCACCAAGTGGGTTTTTTCAAAGTGGGCCCACTTGGGGAACCCTGGTTATATGTATTTTATATTAAGTTTAAATAATGCATTATCACTAATACATATTTGAATCTTCTTTATTGATAAGTACATTACGTTTCATAATTTTTTAACTCAAGAATTATAAAATATAAATGAAGTAATATAAAAGGAACAATTTTATTAATCTTTTTGTTTTCTCACACATTTATTTACTACTATATTTATTAAACATATGGATATCACCTATTATAAAATTATAATCTGTTAATATTTATAATCAGTAAAAGCTAAAATTTCATCTGACTTGAGTTAAATAAAAAACTGAAATAAATATTTAATGGTCTTACATGTTTATATAATAAAATTAATAGAAAGTGAAATTAAAACTATGTATAATTATGAAGAGTATCAGTTACTTTTCCCATTTGTTTTCAAGTAATTAACCCGAGGAAAATGATTTCATTTTTAGATAAATAGTTTTAAAAAGTTCTCTTATAGAAAGTTTTAGCTTTTTTTTTATAGCCAGAAAATAAAACTGTTTAAATTTGTTAATGTATCACTTGGTAAAAAAAGAAAAAAATTGTTTCTTTTCAATTTTTTTAAACATATGAATTAATATTAATAACCTTTTTATTAATATATAAATAATGCAACTATATTTGAAAAATTGATCTTTTCAGACTATATTATTTAAATTTTAATTTGATTTAAAGCATTAAAATATTACTTTTTGAAAAAACCCACTTGAAGTTTTCAATAGTACCTACTACAGTGGAAAGTCGCGTATCCGGAATCGGCGGGACTTTCCGAAGTCCGTATATTTGATTTTTCCGTATAATTGACCTCCAAGGTAAACAAAGCTTAAAATGATCTGAATCTAAGAAGCAGAAAATAAATAAACATTATTTTTCGGGCAATAATGTTTTAGTATTAGAATGATATCTAATCAATCATAAACAAAATATTAGAAAAAAAATAATTATTGCTATTCTAAAAATAAATATAGAAAACGAAAAAAATTCCCAGTTATGAAAATATTAATTGCTCTCTCCACCATTTTGAACTAGAACGATTCAAGCAAGAAGGGGAAATTCCCGTCATTCAATAAGGTGGGTAGGTGGAGAAGAAAAATTCATTTCCTCCTTACTTGTCATTCAAGTTGAGGGCGGGGTAGTGACAAATTCTTATTTTCTCTCCCATCATTGGCTATCAATCAAGCATAAAGGCGTGGCATGCTAATTGGGTTCTCTTTATTTTTTCTTGTGTGACTAAAGGGGATTCCCCCTCCACTTTAACATTCAAAAAGGTTCCAGGAAATGCCTCTTTTACTAGCCAGCTGCATAGAAAGAAGGGGGAGGGAGGGGACTCAGTTGTGCTCTTTTGAAAACACCCCCCCCCCTTTCCTGCATTCCAGAGGAGGAGCGTCATGGTCTTAGTTCTTCTGTTCTCTTTTCTGTTGATTTATGGGTTCAATGCATAGATCTCTAGAAGCTGAAAAGGGGAAAACCTGTCAAAAGACTTCGTTTTTTTTTTTTAAGGGGAGAGGGGAAGATGAAGAAATGTTTGTTTATTTTGATTGTTAAAAAGTGTCCGGGAAATCGACCCTTCCGGAAAAGGGACGTCCGGATATGGGGCGTTACACTGTATAAAATTATATGAAGATTCGAGTTTCTTTTACTCTACTAATATTAAAAACTTAATCATATAAATCATGCAACTCTATTTGACAAATTTATGCTGCACAATAAATTATATAAAAGTAAATGCGAAACAATAAGTTTTAGTAAAAAAAAAAAAATTTTTTTTTTGTTGAAAAAACCCACTTATCGTTCCAGGCGGTTTTTTTCAAGGTGGGCCCACCCAATAAAACCCCGGGCGGGTTTTTTCAAAGTGGGTCCACTTGGCGAACCCTGGTTCTGTCCCAAATAATTTTATGTTATATTTACTTGTCTGAGTAAATTAGAGAATCACACATTGAAGCATAAATTTTGGTACCTACTACTAGAAAAACATTACTCAGAAAGCAGAGTAAATTGGCATATTAAAAACTATAACTTACATATAAAAAAAATTGCTCCTAATTCTGAAATTAAAGCTCAGTCTTTCATTGTCGGAAGGAAGTGATGAAGAGAAAATATTGATTAAACGTGTTTTTAAAAAATTTTTTATAATGTAAAACACTTATAAAAAAACAACATATTTTGAAGAAAAAGTGATGAGAAAAAGTATCAGAAACACTCTTAAAAAATGCATCACCATGATAAAATTATCAAATAAAAAAAATTATAAAAATATAATCGCCATTTTTAAGAGAACACAGCAAATGAAAATAGTGTCATTTTTTCCAAATCTATTTTATTCTTGTTTTGATTTTACTTCAAGGTATCAGTGATTGTATGGTATTGAATTTAATTCAAGACAAATTTAAATAGGCAAAAAACAAAACACTACAAAATGCAATCTTAATAATTTCTCTTTTTTTTAATTTACCAATATTTTCACCTGTTCATCCTCTTATTTGTTATTGAGCAAAATTTTTTTTTCTCTCCATCTAGGTTGAAATCATTTTTGCATTAACAGAAAAACCTAGCTCCCTAATTCCTGCCTCATTCATTAAAAGAAATTCAATCCTAATTGTGTAAATTATAAGTCAACTAACTAAAAACAACTAATTTTGTTGTGTTAAGAGATAATCCTTGTGTCTGCACGAAACATTACACAGTGTATTCGATGGCTTGCGTAAAGAAAAATACAAATTATATACAGATTTTTTTTTGACATTCCACTTTCTGCTACATAATTTGGCATGATTGGTAATTTCTTTTGTTATGTATTTAATTTACGAATATTTATTTGTTTTTTGCAATTTTTTTGTTGTATTGACTAAAAAGATGCTTATCATTTTTTACAGATAGGCATATTTTAAAACCATCCCCATTCTTCAAAAGGTAAACATTGAACTTCATCCAATTTTCATAGAATTTTATTTTTTTGCATGTTTATTCATTAAAATTTTTCATTTCAGTCATTTTGTTACTACTGATTTGAACAATTCATTGAATTTTGAAATAGAGGATGGAAAAATCAAAACACCTATGGGTAAGGTAAATTTCAATTAGGTGTGGATACAGCTCTGTTTTATACTGCTGTTCTGTAGAGAAACTTTTTTTTTTGTTTGAGATGTACCTCGCAATTTCCTACTACTTGGCCTACCCAAACAGATTTTCTTTACCCAGCAAAAAAAACTTCACATCCTGATACTGACTACACTGATCAGATTTTTTAGTCCTAAGACCCAGTGCCAGTATCCTGGACCTGGCAATTATCTGGGGCCAGTACCACTCAATTATTTCTGACATAACCATTTTCAGGCTTATAGTAACCTTAAAACAATCCATATAAATAGTTTTGGAAATCCTGGCATTGCATCACGTTCTAAATAACTGTTAAGCGCAACATTTACCTTAGTGGCATTTTAATGCATAGAAACTTTGGTAAAAGAGGCATCTTTGGTGCAGAGAAATATGCTGGCTAAAGAGTGGTGTACATTTATGAGAAAGACATGAAAATTCAAAAATCTAATGCTGAAAATTGTTTTAACTAAATATAGCTAAATCTATGCAAAATTAGCAATAAGAAATTACATTGATATTTTGAAGTTAATAAAATTATAATGAATAAAAGTCAAAGGTAACTTAAAAAATGCGATGTATGTCTGTATTACTCTCATACTAAAATAGCTTCCATCAAATTGAGTATTACAGTTGAAGGTTGAAGTGCATAGATTGCGCTTCAACCTTAAAATTAGAAAACATAAGACATTTTCTAATTTTAAGTTAGTACACTACAGTAATTTCCGGTGGATATGCCACACTTCTGTCCATGCTGTATGTGTGAAAAACTAAGAATTTCAATCATCATATAGGACGCACCGCCATAGAGGCCAAACTTCTGTTCTTTATTCCCTAACGTACAATAAAGTGTGAAATGTCACTAGATTTACTCTATTATATTGATAAGAAGTATTACATATAAACTTGGTTGCAATTCACTTTCCAAATACATAATTAAGTTTGAAATTAAATAAAAGTTATTCACATTTAACAGGTAACATTTTTAAAAAGGCGGAATAGAAAGCACCACATGTTTGCCACATCGATTCTTATCAAGTATCACATGCATGAAAATACACCAATAATAATCTTGAGAACATGAAATCTATGCTTAGAAAACAGTTATTATTTGTAATTTTTTTTACATATGCACACTTATTATAAAAAGAAAGAATTGTGAATGATACTTACAGAAAAAAATTATGTAACCAATTCAGAATCATCGAATGTATACGCAATAAAAAAATAAATTTATCCCAAAATGAAATAAATCATAAACTTTTTATTTATTTTTCAAATATTTCCAATCTTATATATTAAATCAAATCCATCAAAATCAGATTCATCACTTTCGAAACAAAACAAACATTGAGTTCATTTTTCATGTCATCCGACATCGAGCAAGGAACATCTCCAAGCAAGGAATCATCAGCAAAAAATTATTTCCCACATACTAGTAAGATAAAAGAAAAAGAAGGAAATGTAGAATTCTACAGAATTAGTGGGGGAGATGAGCAAAAGAATGCGAAGAAAGGAGTGCAATATGTTGAATTGTGTGCGCCCCTCCCCTTTTTTCACACGCTAGGTCACTTTATTCCAGGTGCAACTAGGAAGAATAACTAGTTACCATAGTAATGGTCAAATGCAACCACAATTTACAAAATGCGGATTCTTCAGTGATTTTCAACCTTCAGTAACGAAAATGATTGGCTAAAAAAGAAATGAATGATTACGACAGTCATAGGAGGGATAAAAGTTGCGGAAGATGTTCTGTGACGTCAAAAATATTTATGACATCGACTGCATAACATAAATTTAGTGTGAATAAAACTAAGAAAGAGACAATTCACTCTCCTCTTCCGACTGAGAAATGTTTTAAATTCCGATGGGGGAATAAAATGTTCCTTTTTCCCCCCAACCTCCTGCTACCGCTTGCACAATGACTTGCTTGAGAAAGGGTGGAGAATGTCAGCAAAACATAAGGAAAATTAAACTAAAAAATTTTTCTGTTGATCATAAGTTGTAGCAGACAATTTTATTTTTTTGAATTCTCAAAGGAACACATTTCCTCATAATTAGAAGACTAGGGTTCTAAAGAAAGACATCCAATTTTAAAAATAAAAGATCTTTTTGTTCATCATTAAAAAGTTTAAATCTTTTCAAACCAAGACAGTTAAACATTAAAAAAATCGTTTAAAAATTACTTTGTAAAAGAACTCATTAAAGAAAGAAAGAAACTACGATTGCACTTAATTTAAAAAGGAAGCATATTTCTGATAAAATTTATATTGTTTTACATAAATATTTTAATAACTGGCGGGGTAATAAATGAAAATTTTACTGAGTACCTGAAACTAGTCTAGTAAAAGTAAAACTTTTGTTAGTTATCCGGACGTGGCTGGGTAAAATTAAAATTGATGCTGGAAATCCGAAACCGGCTTGGCAAAATTAAAATTTTTGCCAGGTTCTGGAAATTGGCTCAAATTCCCCTGGGTAACTAGACCTAGTAAAATGTTAGAAAATTTTACAACTTTATTTTCTTTTCCCCATTTTAAGATTGTTTGTATACAATTGATTAAAGATTTTGCTATAGAGTAGCATTCCCTCCCATTTGTAAGCAAATTTTAGAATACATAAGTAAATGATTTAATATTTTGGACCAAGTAAAATTTTATTATAATTTTATTTGTTTCAAATTTAGGTTTTACGTGTAATTTATAGAGTATTATTTTTTTTTCTTCCAAAAGTTAAACAAATTCTGACAACAAATCAAGTTTTTTTTCTTTTGTATTGATTTTTAAGTTAAGTAATAACATAAATTAATAAAAAAATGTACTCTTAATGTTAAAATGCAAAAATGTACTCTTAATGTTTTGTAGTTCAATTATTCAGGTATTTTTGATCAGAGGTGAAAGATTGAGTGCTTGCGATGTTTTATTTGCTATTTATTTATTTATTTTCTTTTTAGAATCAATCTCTATTCTAATGGAAGAAACAGCTTATAATGAGGCAAGTTGAATCTTTTTCATTGTTTGTTGTTTATATTTTTATAAATTTTGTTTTGAATATAATTTTGGGACAATTATTAGCCTTATCACTACAGAGACTGAGAAATCAAGGTTATACTTTTTAGCCATTCATATTAGACTGCAGAAGTATCTCATATAAAATATTATTGCAAAAATTTAGTTTATGTTTTATGTTTAGTTATATGTTTTTATTGAACATTTCATATTGCTATACGTTTGTATAATATTACATTGTTTTTCTCTGTTAGTATAAAATGGTTGTTCATCGTTTTTTTTATTGAATGTCCCATGTTATATTTTTTTAATGTTTGTATTGAATATTTTGTATTATATGGCTTAATGGTATATTTATTGAATGTTTTATGATGTTTGTCATGCCTCCATGTTGTGATGGCGTTGTCATCAAAATAGATGTTGTAGAAAAAAGACAGGAGGGAATGCTCTGATTGAGAGCGGAAGTGAAAAAAAAGGATGTGTGCTTGTAGTTTTGTTTAGGTGGCTTGCTTATATTAATTTTTTTCAAACTTCATCTTTTACCATTGTTAATAAATGTTTTCTTGTGTTGTAAACTGGTTGCCATTTTTTGACCAATTGTGTCTTTGGGAAGCATCTTAGTGAAGAAGGGAAAAGCAGGAAAAAATATACGTAATATCACAACATGCTCTCTTTCCAGAACCAGAGTATAAATCAAGGTATGAGATTTATCATATTCTGTTTATGAAGAACATTTTAAGAATTGAATTATGAGAGGTATTGATTTTAAGTGATATTCTTAAAGAGGAGAATAATTGTGTTTTAAAGAAATTATAATTATTTTGGGAATAAAAACAAATCGAGCAATTACGTTTAACGTAAGGGGAATGAAAAAAGAATATTTGGTAATAACTGCCGAAAAATGAGGTTTAGAAGTAAAATCGGAACATAAAGTTGTTGATTTAAAGGATTTGATAGAAAAAAGTTATTACTTTAAAAATTACCGACTTTGTTAAAGAATTTTTAATTACTACAGTTTCCGAACTTACTGAACGAGAGAAAAGAGAAGCAGAATTATTGAGCTCAGAAAAGAATCAAAACAAAGCAACAACTGAAGCAGCATTAGAACTCGAGAAGACTAGGCTTGAGATTGTTAAAGCACAATTAGAATTAACTAGAATGCAGACAGAGTGTTATAGTTCTAACTCAAATGTATTAAATGATTTTAGTTCAAATAATAATAACTTAGAAACATTAATCAAAAGCGTTAAAACTTTAACTATTTCCGTTCCTAGTAAACCCGAATTTTGGAATTTATTTTTTACGTCTCTTGAAGAAGCATTTGTAATAAAAAATGTCCCAGAAAAATTTAAAGTCGAAATATTATTTAATCTGTTAGGTGAACGAGCGGCACATTTGGTAGTTTATGCAAACGCGGAAGAAATTAAAGATTATCATAAAATTAAAGCTTTAATTTTAAAAGATTTTCAACCTACTCCAGAAGCCTGCCTAGAAAACTTTCTAAATGCCAAAAGATCAAAAAATGAAAACCACATGCAATTTGCTAGTAGACTAAGAGCCAATTGGAACTTTTATTGTGAATTTAAAAATGTAAAAGATTTTGAGACGCTGAATGAATTAGTAGTTAGACAACGGAACCCGAAGCTATGTTAGAATAAAACAATTAGATGCTTGGCTTAAACCTAGGCAGATCGCTGAATTGTGCGATAATTGGTTTACCTCTAAAGGTAGAAATTTTTCAGAATTGTATGATAATTTGGTCAACAATCGCAATCCGAATGGAAACACTAAGTATGTTCCACCACCTTTGAGAAAATCCCCATTTACCCCCCCCCTCCCCCGATGCAGCAGCGTTTCCGACGAAATATTGTTTAGTAGCAAAAAAATTTTTCAATTAAAGTTTTATTAATTTTCTGAGAGAAAGACTATTAAAAAAAATTTATAACAAAGTCGACGAAATATTCACCCGTATCGCGATCTGCTGCAGAACATCGCCAATTCTTAGCAAACTTTCGGTAGCAGCCAGTAAGAAAATAAATAAACGAAATAATAATTTTAAAAAAAGCATCGCATAAGGAGAAAATTTGAAAGGTATGCATCTTGTATCCACCCCCAGCTTAAGGAAAAATCGCAAGCTAGAAATCTAGTTAGCGCCTTGGCAATTGTAATTTGAGCGAACAGAAAAGGACCCTAAATCCGACACTCACGGGACTGACGAAATGCCGAACTTCGGATATCTTTCGGAAATTCCAATATGGCCTCCAAATATCCATTGTTAATTTCAGAAAAACCAATAAGTTTAGTCAAGTTTCGATCGTAGATTATGATGGGGTGAATTTAAAACTGGCTCATCTTAAGAGAAATTTTACTTAATCAAAATAATAATCTATATAATATAATCAAGAAGAAATGATCAGAATCCTATGAAGAAGAAATAATCGTTTCTTCTTTGGAGCAAGATCATAGTTCTAGTTTTTTCTTTTAGATAACATTTTGTTTTAACAAAAGACGCTTACCTCGCAAGAAAAAGAAAAAAAGCTAACAGGGATGTTCAAAAAATAATTTTTTTTTTAACAATTAATGCTAAGAAACTCACAATGAATAACAACAAAAAACAAGCTAAAAACTAATAACGATAAAAAAAAAACAAGCAAGTAATAATTAACAAGAAAAAATAAAAAGCGGCAAAATAAAAAAAATGAATCGAATAAAAAGCCGCAAAAGGGACAGAATTAATTTTGTTGTCCACATGGTAGTTTCAATGTCAACTGGGTGTGGCCAATTTATAGTCAAACAGAGGAGGAAAACTTGGGGGCAAATCAGTAAAGCACAAGCACAGCTGTCAAGATTGATTGATCAGTTTTTTTCAACTTCCATTTCTTTATTTTGTTCATTGGAAATGCAGGTGTTTTTACTTGTCACTTTATTTTAAACTGCTTTAGAAACAGATGTTTCCTTTGACACAGATTTATTTTTTTTTTCAAGCTTCTTTTTTATTTTTAAAAAATAAAATAAAATAAGTTACTTCAACAGAATAAAATTTCAAATAAAAAGAATATAGCTGATTTTTTTTTGTCTTATCAATATAAATTTCTTTAAAAAAAAGAAGAAAAAGATTAGATCAGATTAAGTGCCGAATTTTGGAATGCTGGATTAGGGGTCCCATACCCTTTTCTTTTCCCCAACCCCTTTAAAATATAATTGATTGATTCCTCCTAAACAGCTCCAGTAGAAATGACATGTGGAGGAGGTGGGGTACACCCCTCTTTTAAACATTTTCTTCTCTCTTTCTAAGTTGAGTCACATTGGGTTATTTCCATTGAAGGAGAGGGCATTCTACCCACTAAAATTCCACCCTCAAAGATTGTGAAAGTGAAACTTATTTCCCCTTCGCTCATTCCTTCAGAATTTTTTTGGGGCCTGCTTAGTTATTTCTTATTTTATTAGCTGTTTCTTTATTATGTATTAGTTTTTCCTCAAATTGTTAACGGTAATAAATTTTAAAATCTTTCTTTTAGTAAATTTTTATTTTATTTTTCTTATGACATTGTTCTACAGATTTCTGTAATCAGTTCAGCCTTACTAATTCAGCTACTGAACATATAAATATTTTTTTGCTGTTCTTCTGTTTTTTGGTGCGGTGCCAACTGGTAAGAACAACTTTATTTTATATAGTTTTGTTGTTTTCTTTTTTTTCCTTTTTTTGCTGAAAGAAAACTTTTTTTTTTGCTGAAAAAGAAATTTTTTATTATAATTTAGAAATTAAAACTTTACTTTATGAAATGCATAAAAAATGTAATTTTTTATTATACAGATATTCTAAATGGTAATTTAAAGGTCTCTTCTAAAAGGAGGCTGATATGCGCGGTTTAGCGCCATTGCGGCGCTTGCGCCGGAGCGACGCTTACTATAACTTTTTTTTAAAAAATTTCATTTTTATCGAGGTGCGGCGCTTTTGCCGAAAAATACGGTATATGCTGATCAAATTACTTACTTTTTGGAGGCTAATTCTATCGTAGATGATAGTAAAAAGCGTGCGACTCTTTTAGCTGTCTGTGGAATTAAAACTTTGTCTATAATTCGGACTTTAGTTTCACCAAAGGAAGTTACAGAATTTAATTTTCAAGAATTAATTAAACTTTTAAAAGAACATTTCTGTCCTAAATCTTCAGAAATATTTCGACGTTTAGAGTTTCATAAAAGGTTTCAATCAAAGTTAGAATCTGTGATTGCTTACGTAACCGAGTTAAGAAAGCTGGCCGAAGATTGTAATTTCGGAGAAACTTTGTCAGAACGTTTACGAGTTCAACTAGTTTGCGGTATTCGTGATGAAGAGGTTCAAAGAAGATTGTTGGCTGAATCTAAATTAACTCTTGAAAATGCAATTTCTGTTGCCGTAGCATGTGAGGTTGCGGCTTCCCAATCAAAGCATATTCATACCCAAAATTCTTCTTATTCTGAGAATTCGGATGTAGTTGATTTCGTACATGGTAGGAGCAAAAGAAATAATGCGCGATTTAGTAAACAAAATTCTAATGTTTCAGGTAGTAGCAAATTCAAAATTCTAAAGTGTGTTTCGGTTGTGGTGGTAAACATGAATGTTCAACGTGTAAATTCAAAAATGCAATATGCCATTCTTGTGGTCTTAAGGGCCACATTGTAAAAGTTTGTCGGAAGAAAAATAAATTTGAAAAACAGCGTGCAAATTAAATTGAAGTTCAACCAGAATATTTGAATGCTTTAAGTTCTCAATCTCCGTTTAAGAAAAACGCTATTGTTGAGGTTGATAAGGAAAAATTAGAATTGGAAATTGATTCGGATTCCTATTATTCGATTATTTCTTTGCAAGCGTTGAATAAAGTTTTCCGTTCTAAGAAACCCGCAATCAGAAAAACTGTAATTAAACTGCGCGACTTTTCTAAAAATGGGATTTCACTAGCTGGTGTATGTAAAGTTGAAGTTGTGCAGGACCTTTTCAAATCTAAG